CCAACACTTCCAAAATTGCCTATTTACACTTGACCAGACTTACTTGTAAGCCAAGAAACTATAGCAGATATTGACTGCCTTGAACAGGACAACACCTACCCAAAACTCAGCCCTCCAGAGCTAAACTGGACAGCGAAGGAGACTTAAACCCAGTTTGAGACTGGGGTCACTGGAGGGCTGAGGGAAAAGGAGGGCAAACCAAGCAAACACACAGTGGTGTTGGCAGAGAATGGCCACAGCTCAACACTCATCGTCCTCAGGTACAGGAAATGTACCTCTTAACTCCTACAGCAGCTGGATCTTCACAGGGACACTGCCAGGAAATAACATTTGCATTTTTTGAAACAGAACACAGAATAACCGTGTAATAATTTGTTCTATTATATTCAATGAAACATTATACCTATTAGATCTAATAGAATATCATTTTATATAATGGAATAAAAATATTCCATATTTATTTTACACACATAAACATATCAACCGTAAATGTTTTACTGGTATCCATGTCAGATTAGCTATTGTAGATAATTCAGGCACTGTTTTGCAAACAGAAATAAAACCATTGCACCAAACACCAGAATGAAGGGGGGGGCAAGTATGAAATTTTGCAGTATTTTTAAACTCATTTTCTGCAAAGCAGATCCAGTTATGAGGCTAATCTAACCAGACAGCAGTCAGGGGGGACAGGTAATCAACTGAGGATGTGTGACTACTTTAAAAAGAAATCTAAAGCTAAGAATCACAGGCCTTATGGCACGGCAGACTGCAAGCATTAGGTGTCACTGGGAAATGAGATGCACTTCCTAACACCACCAAATATTTTTTCCAGCCCAAGACCAGATTTTGGAAATCCCAATCCAAAGAAACTTAAGTTGGACACTTGCATAATGTCTCCAGGTTATTTGGAAACACTTTTCTTAGCTTTTAACATTGCAAGTCTAGGGAATCTGGCACTGATCGATGGCGGCTTCATTACCTTATCTGAGGCTTGGACAAGGCAAATCAGGGAAAAGTTAATAAACACATGAGATGAACACGTGTTTTCCTTGTTAGGACGAACAGCTCTCATAAATAAAATCCTGAGAGATATTATATGCTTATGAATTTGACTATACAGCTATGTAACTTATTTATTACAAAGCAATAATTTCCACATATGGGGAGGAAGAGAGGAAAGCAGTCATCGTTGGTGCCCAGTTCAGATAAGCGTCCCCAGAGCACCCTGCACAGCTTTGCTCCAGCCCCTGTCCCTCAGCTCTGCCCCCTCTCAGCCCATCGCTAAACACCAATATCCCATAAACACACTTAGATACAGCAAATAACAGATTCTTTATCTTTCTGAAGCAACTGATGGTAAGCAGAGCCTTTCTTCTCCTCCTCATGGCCTCTCCTTTACCTCACTCCCATTGAAGCCGTGCTCAAAGTATGCAACGTTACAGAACATATGACCTAAATTTTAAGATCTGTATGAATTGCTGCATCCCACGGGATTAGGAATGTAACATAAGCTGCCCGAGATCACACAATAAGCCAACGCAACCCCCAGAAGTACAAATTCACTTTGCTCCCAGATCTGAGCTATCTTAAAAGTGTATGCTCAAAAATACGAAGAGTGGGATCACATTATAAACTCACCAGCAAATGCAAAACAAGAATTGCCAAATTTCAATGTGATGTTTGTGTTATCATAGCTAAGAGCCAGGGCCCCCCGCGCTAGCTACAACGCACTGCCAAGACAAATAAAAGACTATTCCTTCTACAAAGAGTATTTCTCTCTTCCTTGAAAGCAAAACATGCAAGGAAAGGGGGATGCATTAGCATTCTTCCCAATTTCCGTGCAACATCAACCCTCCCTGATGGGGGTCTGCCCCACGAATTAACTGAAGTCAGTGTGTTTACACCAAAGATTAATTTGGCCTTTTTACTTCAACTAACAAAAGCCAGGAAATTCAAAGCCAGAAGCCTCAGTGTTGCCAGAATGTGGGGTTTTTTAGTATTTAATAAGCTGTGCCTTTATCGCTCCGTAACCCATGTTCAAAAGCCAGATAAGCCCCACAGCAAAGTGCACAGCGGGGACGCAGCACTGAAAGCAAGTCAATAGCAATGAGATCTCATTATTAAACTGTCAATACCAAAATTCTCCTGCTAGCAGGGACAAGTGCTGATATACAGAGTGCTCGCCACCGCCTCTGAGCAACCATTAACCCTTCAGGATCGGGAACCGGCCTTCACTGGTGCCAACAGGAGTCTTCCAACCCAAAGGATTAGCACGCATCTCATGTGTGGCAAGACTCCCTGTGACAGGCAAAACAGTTGCACCGATGGAATATTCAGAGCAGATATGGTCAAAAATAAAAGAAAGTGTGAGCCTCAGTGAGACTGAAAAGTAGAAGATGGTGGACAGAGTGAAAACGAAGAAGCTGTGGAAGTGTGGAGATGGGATGGACAAGGAGCACTGGTGCTGAGCACTGCGGTAAAGCAGCACATGTGGATTTAAAGCTATTTTCTGTGGGAGGGGAGGCAGCAGGAAGAGAGAAGGTTGAAAGCACAGGAGGAAAATCTTGAGAATAAATGCACACCGGAGAGTCGGGTCATGGCTGAGAGTAAGAAATGGGCTGTCTCCTGCATGATGAACACTACAATTCATTTACTCCACTGAGGAATGACAGCTAATTATTCCAAATTTCCACGTCATAAATAATTTACGTGCGCAGGCCTGTAATACACCATTAATCAGGAAGCATGAGAACTGCATTCTTTAAAACGATGCAATACCCACAAATGGACTGAAAAGTCTGAGCTTGAAAGGGGGGGCTGGTGCCTGCTCAGAGAACAGGAGATACCTTTAAACACATCGCTGCAACTCCTTGTTACCCCTGCTCTCTCACAGCAACTTAAAACAATACAAACACGTAAAAAATAGTTTAAAAATAGTCACAATCTCTACCCTTTCTTTCCTTTGTTCAGTTCAACTGCCTTCAGTCTTTGCATAATACCTGCTCTCATTTTCCATTTTTTTCAGCAACAAAGGCCACCTCTCTGATTTTATCTGGTAGTGGATCAACTCCATCATTGCCAGAGACATCAGATCCACCACCACCTTTCAGAGATCTTCAGTTTATCTTCCCAAATGCAGCTGCACACCTCCAAAGCAGACACACCAACTCCTCCAGCGACTCCCTTGTGTGTGTGACCCATGAATTACCCACAAATTCCTACAGAGAATCCCAAAACTCTCCACGATGGCTCATGAGTGCGTTTCTCCACACAGTCTTATCCAATTTACATTTCATTTGTACTTCCTCACACACTACACCAATGCTGCTGCCAGAAGCATCACTGCCTTTACATTCTGCCATCCAAATTAATAGGTTTTTGTTTTCATCTTTATCTAGTTCAGAACTCTAAAACCCATTTCAATTTTAGCTCAAGACAATTTATTTGCTTTCTTTCCTGTAGCAAGCAACACTCATAATGCCACACTATGTGGTGACCAACACAGAGCAGAGGGATTTTTGTAATGAGTCAAAATACAACAGGATTTACCTGATTACATTCTTAAACATAGAGCAATTAGGCTGAAAGACTACTTCTTGCATCCCAACAGTTGGGCTGGCTTTAGAGGGGCACCAGACACCTTACTGGTGTCTGATCAGAGGGATCACACTGGCACGGTGACAGGAACTCAAGAGCAAGACCTGAACCCATGTCCAGAGCTACCTGGACAAGCCAACATCCCTGTGGGCAGAGTCATGGCAGGTCCTGGCAGAAAGAAAACAGCAAAACCTCTAGAAAAGTTACTGTGGTTGTGATGAAGCAGCATGCAGCACCATCCATGCTAACACCTTCCAGGCTTTGACAAGAGCTGAGCAACAAGCCAGGCTCTTGCAAACTTCAACATAAGGAACAGGCGCCTGTAAATCAAATTGTTAGACTATTTTACTTTATGGAAAAATTCTCTACCTTTCCTGAGACATGAAGAAAACATGAGGTGTGAACGGAATCACCTGAACTAGGAAGCTTTAATTCAGGAACGAAACATAGATGTGCAGTAAGGTCTGTGCAGAGGCTCTGGATGGCACAGCCAATGCTTCGGAGCAGAAGGAAGCAGCAGAGTTTTACATATGGTGATACTGCCCTGGCTCTACAGGATTGTATGACAGCCACAGAAGAGTTAAAGAATTAAGTCATGTTTCCTTGTGAGGCTCCATTAAGCAACACAAGTGAGTCTTGTGTAAAAGGATTCTTAGTTCATTGTTACAAGTGCTGGTAATGAAGAGGATGCACGCTGGAAATGTCAGATGATCCATAAAGAACCATGGCTGCAAGATTTATCACTCTCACATCACACTGCTCCATCACTCCGCCTGAATAATGAATCCTTTTTACATTCACATTTGTGTACAAAACCCATTTGCACAACAGAGAAATAACTCTGGAAGCAGACTGAGATTCGTCCTAATCTCTCAGCCAGGCCCTGGCTGGGCTGCCCGTGCTAAATAGCTGCGCAGCTAACGAATACATCAATGCTAATGAACGGACCACTGCTACATCACCCTCCCCTGTGCCACGCTCCCAACTGTCACCCAGCTGACTTCTGCACGAAAAAAGCAGCAAAAGCACAATTTATTTTGCAATAACACACTACAGTGACGGGGCATTAACTAACATTAAGATTAATTGCTCTGAGCTAATGAATCATCCATTACTAATCCCTCAGACGGGGCTATGCAACTAAATAACAAGTTGTAGCTGGACTTCTAGCAGAGGCTCGCCTTGCAGTCATGGCCACAAAGAAAAGTTTATTAAATTCTACAAGAGATTTGATAGAAAGGGAGAAATATCGTAAAGAAAGACAAATCACATTACAGATAAATAAGTCAGCAATATGACAGTGTCTTTCTAGATACCTCATCCCTTCACACTCCTGCCATGCAGTACTTTGAATGAAGCTTTTGGGTAGTTTAGCCCTGACTGAGAGGTGGGTAAAAGCACATTCCCAGAGTCAGACAGATATGGTAATCACAACTTGTTTGTGTGTCAAAGCACCGAGACAGCCTCAGAAGACACCCAAATAATGCAGCCTCCTGGTGCATTTGTTGGAAATAAGAGCCGAGAACATCACCTCCAATCTCGGCTACTTTCTGATCCCACACAATGTTTTCCTGTCTAGTTAAAGCCTTTTTCTTTTCTTTTTTTTTTTTGGCTCTTGTTCACAAACTCTCTCCACAGGTAAAAGACACCTACCAGTTTCCATCTCTGCTCTGGAATAGCGCTGATGTCCACAGGATGACGCTCTATTACATTGAGAAAACGGGCCTCAGGGACAGCAATAGCACAGATTATATGGACCCACCTGGAAAAAACGTTAGGAGAGAAATCAGAGTCTACCACTGTTTGAATTAAACACTCAAGAGGGCAGTTAACATTTCTCTGCCTCACTCAGTATCAAGGCATATTTATGGTGGTCGGCAGCCTTGGCAACATTACCAACTAATTGTTAATCATGGTCACGCAAGGTAAATGTCTCTGGAACAACAGGGATCAGCCTTCTTATGCATTTGATCTTCCAGGATACTAAACATTGTCTGAAAAGACTTTTCTCTGAGAATGAACCAAATCTAACACTGTTCAGATCCACATTACCCCTGCTACTGAGAAGCCTGGTGCAGAGTGTAAGGCAGCACAGTTATTCAAGCTCATCCTGCCAATTTACTGAGCAGCAACTACCTCCATAATGCCAAAACTAGCTGTTACATTGAGCATCAAGACCAAATTCACACCACTAGAACATCAGATGCACTGTGGAAGGATAAAATATTTAAAAACATCACTCACCGCCCGTCAGTGGTCATCTGAAGAGCTCCTCCCCTGAGATTACACAGACAACATTCCTGTAGGAACAAAACTCGTCAGAACTGGACCAAAAAGCTCTGCTAGAGTGCCCATCTTTCCCAAAAACTGACCACACCACATCTGGGCTGCAAAGGCAAACTGTAGCCCCCACACCCATCTCTGAGGAGAGATTCCCAGAAGAGCCGATGCTTACCGCTGCCCAGGCGTTGGCTGAGCACCGTGCACAGGACCAACTCTCATTCACCAAGTCTGGACGTATCCCGTAACAGCCTGGAAAAAACAAAGTTACATCCTTCAGAGTTTTGCCAACATATCTGTAGTATTGACTTACTGACTTTTCAGTGCAGAAGCATCTTTGAAATCAGGCGTAGCATTTGAATAACTATATATTTAACAGCTCAGGCTCAGAAAAAAGTCAAAAGGAAAGTCAACTTTGGGAAGCGGAGACAGAATCTGGGACCAAGTCTAGAAACGAATGAAAAACCACACCCAGGTAACCCTCAGCACTTTTTCCCCTCTCTTTTTGCAAGAGCTACAATAGCAGCACTTTGATCCTTCAGCAAGAACCAGGCTCCAACGTGATGCTACTGCAGCTGGGATGCACTTGTACATCACAACAGTTAAGATCACTGAATTTTAGCATGATTGAAGCAGTCATCTTTGCTAACTGGTATGATGAGGAAGGACAAACCCACTAATATTGCAAATAAATTAAATACATGTCTTTCACATATTTAACAGTATTTAAACTAACACTAATTTCTGGTTATATGAAGTGTTAGAAACATCGGACTTTATAGAGCACCGATTACTGCAACATGCAAGCACCAAGTTCTCCTACAGACTTCTCTGCAGCACCAAAACAGGAAAATGGTATTATACCTATTATAAAGACAGGGAAATAACACCAGCAAAGCACTTAAAATTCTGTAAAAGGCAATGAAGTTTACCACTGAAGACAATGGAGACAAGACATACAGGTGCTTTTGAAAAACTGGATGTACAAGATTCCTGCAAGTGCGCAAAGAAAGCCTGGAGCAGAATATTAAACATACCACAAATTGCTGGCCAGCATCCTAGCTAGCGCAAAGTTCAGCCTTTACCTATCCTAACAAAACTGAACAGAAAATTTCAGCTGGAGAGCCTCCAATTACTGAATTAAACTTTAAAGAAGTTATTCAGAAAGCACCGAGATTGCCACAGTAACCTGATTTATAAAAATCATCCGCTTAACCAGATAAACATTATGTCAAAAAAAAGAGTCAATAATATAGATCCACAGCTGCCTTCCACGTCTGAAGTCTCTTTTCATCATACGGCAAATCAAGAAAGCAGATTCAATCCAGACCCAGAAAATGAGCAAGGGTGTTGAGGCTAAAAACCTGATCTGGGAACTGAGCTGAAAGAGCAGCAGACACCCTTACAGCAATACTGCTGCCCAGAACGGTGGGGCACAGGCCGAAATTTCAGCACTTATTTCTTCCTTCAGAACCACAGAGGTTTGTCAGCATCTGAAAAGTCCAGAAACCTTCACAAAGAAGGCAGCTGCCAACTGGTTTTACAGCACGCTGCCAGATTAACCAAAACACACCTCAACACTGCAATCTGGTAATAAAAGCAAATGGGTTCTCTGCAGCAAAGTGAAAGGGATAGCACAGCCTCCGAGTACAAAGGGCGACAAGGAAGCGACAAGACACTGGAGACAGCATCAGACCAGATTTAACTCCTGTCCTATCCTCAAGGGTAGAGCACGGCCAAAATAGAAAGCTGAATTTCCTTACAACCTGCGTGAGACTGTGGATTAACATCACTTTGCCCACATCCCTCTGTCCCTAAACAGAATTTGGCCACAGAAACCATTGTGACAGACCGGGCTATTGAAGACATACGGATGTACGAGATGCAGCATCACTACAGACCACAGTTTGTGAAGTAGGAAAGCAGTCTCCATCCTTCCAGAAATAAAAGTTGCATTCCAGCTCCGCACAAGGGACAGCCATGCCGAGCTGCAGGGTGACCTGCGACTATGAAACTGGAACAACACAAGTAATTCCAGCCGATGCAAGGCAAATAAGATTTCCCATCTGCCAAGATCAAACAGCTCAACGGTAATTCGTCACATCCCCCCGTATGAGTGCAAATGTTAACGAGATGCCGCACAATCCACAGCGAAGGTACCCTCTACCAGGATTAATCAGATCTTCTTGCAGACGTAACTATCAGGGAAACAGACATATGTTCCTTTTTGTAATCAAGTGCCATTCCTACCAACAGCGACACAGGCCCTAATAAAATATATCTCGGAAACTACTCCGTAATCTCTGATGCACGCAAGAACAATACAACCGTATCCAGCAGAGCAATATTTGAAAAGGCGGAAAG